AAGACCAAGGAGAAGATGATTCTGATTCTTAAAAAAAGTACAACTGAATTTTGACAGTATTATTCTCGAATAATTTTTTTAAATGTATAATTGCTTCAAACTTGCTGTTTTCAAACATAATATGAAAACCAGCACTTTCTTCTAGTACGTATAGTTACAAATATATTTTTTCTTCCCAGTTCCGCCCGAGATTATGATAAAAAATAATCTAATTGGAGCTCACTTTGGAACTACAGCTCTATTGAAGTGTTATATTCAGGCTCTACCATTTCCAAATATTGTGTGGAAAAAGGATGGAAAAATAATTTCGTCCGGAAAGAAGTATGAAATAGACATTCCAATCAAAAAGTATAAAATTGAAACAGTGCTGAGAATTCGGGATATACAGCTAGTCGATTTTGGGATATACAGATGTACAGTTAATAACAGTCTTGGCCAGGCAGAGGGAGAAGTCCAGATCTACGGTAAGATATATTTTTCTTTCAATTTGTTTATTAATTATTTTAAGAAGACTTCGTACTGATCCATTGTTTCTAAGTTTCCTTCTGAATATTGATCATTTAGTGTGCCTCCCATTGCAGACAATTGGAAGAAAGCTTATGTATAAACCAAACCATATGTATACATTTATAAACGCAACACACACACGCAATATCATTAACTTTAGTGCATTACAGTCAAAAGTTATCAATAGTTCTTTGAATATTTTTCTAAACATTTTTTTTGGAATTATGCCTACATCTAAATCTGCTAAAAACCAATAAATATCTAGCTCTGTTTCTAATTCTTGGTTCAATTTATCGATAAATTGTACTTTGTGTAAAAGATGTATATATATATATGAGCTTTTCCATTATACTTTCAAACTTTTCAAGCCTTTGAAAAACGGAATAAAATTGAAGACAATTTTCTTAAAAAAAAAAGTAAACTTTTTATAGTATGTAATAACAACAACATGTTCATGCTGATTTACTCATATTGGATACTTGTAATCAGTTAAGGACTTTAAGCTTTGAATTATTTCAATTCTCATTAGCTCAGCAAGATCGATGATGATTAATATTATCCAAACGAACTTTATACATCAAATGAAGACGAATATAACAAAATGGAAGACATTCAAATCATCACGGACAGATACAAATACTTTGCTGACTGTTAGATTGAAATATGGGTTAAGGATTTGTTTATCCATTTATTAAAATGCTGACTGTTAGATTGAAATATGGGTTAAGGATATGTTTATCCATTTATTAAAATGCTGACTGTTAGTTTGAAATATGGGTTAAGGATTTGTTTATCCATTTATTAAAATGCTGACTCTTAGATTGAAATGTGGGTTAAGGATTTGTTTATCCATTTATTAAAATGCTGACTGTTAGATTGAAATGTGGGTTAAGGATTTGTTTATCCATTTATTAAAATGCTGACTGTTAGATTGAAATGTGGGTTAAGGATTTGTTTATCCATTTATTAAAAATTCAAATAGAGAACAAATATTCACAAGTTACTCATTTCTAATACTCATGAAAAAAACAAAAAACACGAAAACATAAGAGTACAAAAAGTAGTTCAAGTGTGTGATTGATGTTACTAAAATGTTTGATAAAGAATGAAAAAAATTTATAAAATTCACAACCGAGATTCCTGTCATGGATAAAGTCTCATAATTTTAATTTTCACTTTGTGGCCATTTGTTTTTTATTTTTACTTTGGGGAACCTGTCTAGTTTAATTAAGCTGTCTTTCAAATGGTCTGAAACATGATGTGATGGTATGGTTTTTAACCCAAAATTTTCTGACAGAAAAAAAGTGGAATGAAATACTTATGATTAAAGAAGAAAGAGTATTTTCTGTCTCATAAAGCAACTGTATTATGAAGGACATTTTAATGAAAGCCCTTGATACGCCACCAGCTCGTTTGTGTTGGTTTGTTCTCGAGCCAGTTTGAACTTCTTCTTCCACTAATGAAGGTCGATTTATCCAGATACAACCAATAACGTACACAGCGGTCACGCACACCTGTGACTGCTGATTGGTGGAGCGTTTGCTATCCATATATAGTTATAATAATACAATATGTTTAAAGGATGAGATCTAGTTTAGTGTATCATTTTTTTCTGTAAAAGTAGAAAATTAAAACTCTGTTTCTTTAATTAATTAAATATGAAGTATAATATAATGTTTTCGATCAAAATTACATTATCTGTTTACCATAACATCTTTCATCCAGATATTCCAAAGCCAACCTCGGTACCCACCTTAACGCTTCCAACATTATGTTCTACTACGATGGAGACCAGTTCTTGGAGTGAGTATATTTCGACGTTTCAATGTAGATATGATATATACAGTTCAGTGACTTTCTACGCATTTAGACATTTTGTACTATAAAAAATGTTCTATTCTAAAATAGTTTTCTTTTGAAAATCTGCACAAAGTAAGTGATTTTATTTGAACTATTAGTCATTCGACGGGTTTTGTGTGTTTATAGCATTGAATGGAAGGTGTGTTGTTTGCGATAACATTTTAGTTTAAGGGGAGACGTGATTTCAACATGTACTGACAGGATTTAATGGTCCATGAAACATATTATGTGGACCGAAACGTTAGGAAAACAATAAATAGATTTTACAAAGTAAAATAGAAACAGTATCGTTGTGATATACGTTTATAAGGATTGTCTGCTATTACTGAAATGTAAAGTTTTTCGTTTTAACGGTTTTACATCCTTACTTTAAAACCCAAAATGTCCATGGAGACACGTAACACTATAGTTGATGTGGATATCATCCTGAGAACTTTCATTATAACATGGGGTAAATCTAACATTCAAAGATCTTCCTACATATAAGGAATTTCTCGAATGAAAAGTAAAGTTAAGTAGTCCATTCTAGTGACCCGTTCCGTAACGTTTGAGACATCTTAGTTTTATGTTGGCACTTTCAATATTTTATTCTCGAAATTTGCTCTATAACCTATTATAAGCCCATTCAACAAATAATTCAGTATAAGTCAGAGCAGAAAGATTCATGGGTCATTGCACAAGCATTCTGTCAACATAGTATCAGACTGTACGTACAGCCTATCGGTATCGTTTGATAAATGGAAAACAAAAATTCAATAATATTTATACTTGAAGTTTAGCACATGTCTATATCGACCACCACCGTGCGCTTTTACCTTCTCTATACACTTGTATTTCTATTTGTATTCAGAACGTACTACTTAATTTGTTTATTAACTTAAATGAAATTCAGAACAGTAGAAAAATGAGGAAATATTCATTTAGACACATTCATAGATATAAAGACACGTATGAGTTTAAGCATTTCCTTGAACAGATTACACAGTAGAAACAGTAACAGTACAAACAACAACAATAGAGAAAGTAATAGAAACAATAGTGTTATAATCGATTTAAACCTCATGCACAGCATTAAATGTATTATAGATATGTAAGTCGCAGAGTTGAATGAGTTAATAAAAAATATAGACTTGTAAGTTGAACCTAACGTTTAGGGACAAATTTTGAAATCATTTTTCTCAAACAGTCATACATTTCTGATGAATAATTCGCAACTTAACAAAGTTTGATATCAAATTTTTGAAATATGTTTATTTATTTTTATAAACTTCCGATTATTCTGAAATTGGAGAATTCTGTTGTATGAAATATTGATATTTATTGCGTGGAACAAAATGCAGGATGGATTAATAATATAAAAACAAACACATTCACTTCCTACAAGGGATTTCACCAGTGATACAATCCGTACACTCACTTCCTGCAAGGGATTTCACCAGTGACACAATCCGTACACTCACTTCCTACAAGGAATTTCACCAGTGACACAATCCGATTAATTGATATTCACAATGAAGTATTTTTTCAAGTGTATACAACTCGATTAATAGTATAAATTATAACACATTAATACTTCTGTAAATGTGTTTAACATTTTCATAAAAAAGTGTCGTAGAAAAGAACGTTCAACAATACTTCACTACTGGTATTGTTTTATTTACTGGTTTTATTTTCAATTCTGCTAGTCTGTGTTTTAAATTAATAGTTTTAGGGAAAAACGTATTCTGTAATGCAAATAATCATGATACATAAATTCTAATTTATGCACATGTGGTTCGTGTCCCGATAACGCTTTAAACAATATCGCGCTCCGGACTTTGGGGCTGTGAGTGAGTTATAAGAGTAATGGTCAAATTCCACTATTCGGTCTAACAAGAGTAGTCCAACAGTTGGCGGTAGATGGTGCTGACTAGTTGCCTTTCGTCTAATCTAACACTTGAAAATTAGGGACAACTAGGCCTCGTGTAGATTTGCACGAAATCCAAAAACATAAAACTAACTTTCATGACATAAAAGTCTTTTGCAGTTAATTTTTTCTCCACTTCCTTCATATAAGGTGTTGTTTTACTTAGAATAGCAGTATTTCTCAGAGGAAATGTATCAGTTTTTCATCAACAGTTAGAATAAAAAATGATTTAAACAGACAACTCCTTCCTTTCCGGATGTTCCTTCTTTCGGAGAGTAGCAAGATAATTGTTCTAAACTATGATTAAATAAATAGTGTGAGATGATATGCTACGTAATCCTATCTTTCGTTTATTTTCATCTTAGTTCTTGTTGCAAAGTATTACTAATGATCAAACAAAATACCAGACTTAGCCGTACCTTCTTTTGATTTATAAAATAGCTGAAAACTAACAAGTGTTTGAAATAAAATATCATATGAAACAGTCGAATTTCATCACTTCCGAAGTTTCGTCTATTCGAAACGTTATATGTCGTTTAACGAATTGAAAAGGACTCAACATTTAGTTGAGAAGAATAAGGGTTAATATAAAATGTTCAAGTGCATCATTCTCGAACTCTTATCATTTTAAGTCGCATTTTCTTTACATAATCATGACTGATCATAATGACTGTTTACGAAAGAAACATCAATTGATTGACTCAACAGAAGAAACTGAGAAGTAAAGTTATATGAAAAGAGGTCTAGGAATCTTCAGATAACGTTACGACTAAAACCCAAGAATATACTTATCCTATCTTTAGTTAATTTCGTTTGTATCATGTGTATATAAAAGTTATTTGATCACATTTTTCCTCCAAAATATCTGAACTTATTCATATATTTTTGTGTTTGAACATTTAACCTGAGATTGTTAACCAGACTATTTTCCGCAATTCTCATGTTTTATTTATTGCAAACATAAAACTAGTTATCACGTTAAGCTTATCTCGTTAATGTCATTAGACAGTGGCCACGTTAACTAAGTATCATTTCTCACAATTAAGATTGAGTGACAAAGGTTGAGCTATGACTATGGGCTACTAAACAGTTTTCATAGAACGGCTCTGAGTATTGTTTGTTTTGTTTTTTCAAGTACAAACGTTTAGCTCATAGCTCCGTTATCTCTTGAACGATTTGAGATCTAATTACAGTTTTGGACTCAGGAGGTCAAACCCTATCGAATGATATATTTGATTACGCTCAAGATCTCATAGATTAATTTACTCTAACCCTACCTAAAATAATTTCAATTTGAGGGTAGGCTGGTAGAGATCCTGATCAGTAATAAAATTAAATTGGGTATAAGCGCACCCCATGCTTGGTATTTCTGGCGCACAGAAATACAGCTAATAGAAAGGGGGAAAAAAGGATTTGTAGATTAATTTAATCTAATCCTGCCTAAAAGAATTTCAAGTGCCGCGTCTATTGAGGACTTTCTCTTGTTTATCAAAATTTTATATTACTTTTCTTAAAATAAAATCTGGCCATGTGCAAACCCAAAAAACTGCAAATATTGTAAGTTGTATAAAGTGATTTACTTTACTATGTAAAGATGACCTCAAAATGTTTCATGGTGATAATACGCTGCTTATATATTGTTTAGACGACATTCCACGCAGCAGTGAACCAGAGAAGGATCACGGGTATTTTCCTAAAGAATCAGTTCAAACTGCTAAAGGTGAGCTTATTTTATTTGTGTAATATCTGATATGATTAATATTATAGAATTATAATAATAATATCATAAGATAACGTAAGTATAATATCCTGCGACAACCAGTAACACCATAGGTAAGAGAATTAAAATTTCTAACAGCTAAGTCTATCTTCCTGTCTGTCAGTCTGTCTATCAGAACGAAACTTCTGACGTTTGGCATGTCGCCCATGTTGATTTTGAGGTATTTGCTATTATTAACCAGTATACTTTGATTACTAACTCTTCTTGTTGATGTAAGTTACATCTGTTTAGTGTAATCATGTGTTGAGGAAACGTTGTAAATGTTTGTAAAAAACCATTTAATGAAACACATTAAGTTCATAACTGTATTTCTATCTTACTTTAAATTGTTGTTTGGCTTTTATGAATCACTTAACGCTTCTATATTGGCAATAAAGAAATAGATAAGGAAACGTTTTAATTTCCGTATTTACCATTGTATTAGTTATTGGGTTTATGTAACACATTTAAAAGTTTCATTTAACATCCCTTTAGCAATCTTTAAATATAACTAATTCCTAAATATACTCATCAGAATAAAACACGAGGAAGTGGAGACAAAACGACTTCTACTTAAACAAGGCTAGATTTTAACAGTGGCTTTAAAGTCTTCGTCACCATTAAAAGTGGATCAATAATTTTAATAAGATAGCATTGCTTTGGAAACAAGCCTACGAAGTGAAAAAAATGCGCCTGCCAGTCTCTTTCTTTATCTCCAAGCATAATTATATATATAAATGCAGTGCAAACTCGGGGACAAAAAACGTTCGTTAAAGACAAACAAGAGGAAATCCTCAATAGCCGCGGCACTTCAGATTCTTTTAGGCAGGATTAGAGTAACTTAATCTATGAGACCTTTTTTTCCTCTATTTATTAGCTATATTTTTGTGTGCCAGCAATAAAAAGCGTGGGGCACGCGCACACCCGATTTGATTCTATTGCTGATCAGGATCTCTACCAGCCTACCCAGAAATTAAAATTATTTTGGGCAGGTTTAGAGTAAATTAATCAATGAGACCGTAGTCGTGAACAATCAGTCGATAGGGTTTGACCTCCTTTGTCTAAAACTGCAATTAGATCTCAAATCGTTCAAGAGATGACAGAGCTATGAGCTAAACGTTTGTACTTGAAAAAACAAAACAAACAATACTCAGAGCCGTTTTATGAGCCGCTGTGTCGCGGCTAAAAACTGCAGGTATGTGTATAATGCTAAATGTTTAGCAAAAGCAACAGATATTCTAACATGAAAATGTGTTCTAATAAGACAAGGGGGAAAACAAAACAAAAACGACTTATATGAAAATCTCCATCTAACAGGCTTTCAAAAGAACAACATTTACGAAAGTAGTGCCCATATAGTAAACAGGATTCTGTCTTTCAGTTTTTCCTTATATCTTTCAGGCAAAATATAGTTTCGTTCTTAGTATTTACTGTTTTCAAACACATACACACATACACACACATATATATATATGCTTCTCTTTATAGTAACGATTTTGGATACCGAAAGTTGATGAACACTGAAAACAACAGACATAAAATGTTTGACATAAACCGTATTAAACATAACGAATTTCAAGTCAGAGAAGTGTAAAAATGGTATTTCAGACTTATTCATGTACCACAAGTCAATGTCCAAAGACCATTTGTTCAATACCATAACCCGTCTGCTTAGTTAGATGATGACAAACAAAAATTTATCTGAAGATTTATATACGTAGTACAAGAATTTAACGGTGATTTTAAACGCTGAAATTAGAAATCAGTGGAAACGAACCGAAAGCCCGTTGACCAATACATTGTTTTTGTATTCCGTAATAAACTTATCTTAATTTAGTGTATACTTCACCTTATTTGTTTTATTCCCCATTTTGGGAAGAAATGGGTCTAATACTCGTTAGAAAAATCTCTGTCTCATGCTAACAATGAATCAGATTACTGATATGGATAGAATGAACCTAAAAAAAATCTGTGATATAAATGACTTGATAATTCCGACCTTTACGTAAAGTTTGACTAGAACTATGTCGTAGGGGCTGGTGATCTTCAGTGTGTTTAAAAGTTGGTGCTTTTTATAAATGAATGAAATTTAAATTCTTACACAAATATGTCAATGTAAACTTCTTTATCTATAATTTAAAATTCGTTAGTCTGTCATAAGTCTATTCGTGAATCTATAAGCGTGTAAATATGCACAGCTTCAGTAAAAAATGATCGGAAGCGTATTGCCAGTTTAGCTTTATTAAGTTATATAGTGAGATTTAAACTGTCATTCTTATTCGAGCTGAGAAAGATGAAAATTAATGATTAAATTATTTATTCGGGACATGCAAACAATGCAACAGTAAAATCTTGCATATAGCCAGTTATAAAATTCAGGGGGACAAGGTGCCGAAGTTTACTTTTTTCACAAAAATACAACAAGTTATCAATCACAGATTAATTCTAATTTCAACTAAGATTCCTTTTAGTCTTACTAAGTTCCTAAACTTTGTAAAGGCAAAAACATCTCATAGATGTGTATTCTGAATTTAACTCTAAGGTAAACGGTATGTGAACACGGTAATAGTGGTGTAACGAATTTGTTGTTATGTATTTATTTTAATATGAACGTCGCTTATATTAAGTTTATATTTAAAACCTTGCATAGCGTGTAGTGTTAGATATGTATTGCGAAACTCCCGCCTATTCTCCAAAGTTGCAGAAGATTCTCGAGAGTAGGAATCAACAATATATCTATATATGTAAACGTTTAAATATAGCTTAGTATTGTTATGCAATCTGAATTTTCTAGAAAACCTTCCCACGCTTATAACTACAACCAACGCGACGCGCCAAAAGAAGTAGTGTCTATTAGTAGGTCGCTATAATCAGTAAGCTGTAAGCTTCGAAAGCTATAACTGTGATTTTTATAACTCTTATCAATCGGAAAACTTTAGATATTTGACCAGGAGCATTTACAAAGTTCGAACATTACAACCCATTCAACTTCAGTGGATTCTCATCTGACATGAATATTTTTACGTAAACATTACCTAACTCTAACGTGGAAAACCTAGCGTGTGTGGCCAAGGACAAAGTTAGCTAACTTCCCGGCGAATCGTACTTATATCAACTCGTAATTAACTCGCTCATCGTGAACCCTCGATAAGATATCAAGGGAGTTCCAAACTAGAAAGAAGATTTTATATTGTTTGTAAGTTTGTGAAACTTTTGTTTATAAATCTTTGTTCGTAATAACTATTTGTAATAATAATTATTGCCGTAAATTGTATTATTATGCATATATTACAAACGTATTTGTGTTGAAAACGAAGATTGTATGTATCAATCTTGTTGGCAAATATCTTAAACTGACTATATATCGGCTTTAATTTAACTATTAAATCGAAAGTACAATTTAACTACTAAATCTAAAGTATCATTTAACTCAATTTCAGATCATTTGAAATTCTAATACGTAACAGTAGCAATATCGGAACACTGAAACAGTAGCCTTTATGTACAATCCACACAGTGTCTCTTTCTTGTTCTATTAAACATTTTCATTCCTGAAGCAAACAGTTATCCTAATTATCACATAATGCTTGTCAATATAGTCTAACAAAAATGTTTCTAGAAATTCTCTGGCAGTCTTGATTAAGCTAGAGTTATTCTTGCTTTCAACAAGATTATGTCATCACAACTTTACAAGATATAAATGATCCGTAAACTTATCCACCGCGGGGGTCTCCAAATGTATTATAATTTAGAAATATTTACTGTCTCTAACTTTATTTTGTCCATTTTAATTATTTATGGCAACTAATACTTACCACAAACCCTTTTGTGATGGAACATTTGTTTTTAAATCATGTTTGAAATATAAAACATCTTAACTCACGCATGTATACAACTTTCCTTTTAGCACAATACAAAAGGGAAACGGATTAAAGTTGATTTCACACAAAAATTTGTGTACTTAAGCTGCGAGTGCAAAAGAAGAATTATTTCGATGTCTAATGGTATAAAACATACTTCGATATCTGATGGTAGAAAACATACTTCGATGTCTAATGGTATAAAACATACTTCGATGTCTATTGGTATAAAACATACTTCGATGTCTAATGGTATAAAACATACTTCGATGTCTGATGATATAAAACATACTTCGATGTCTAATGGTATAAAACATACTTCGATGTCTAATGGTATAAAACATACTTCGATGTCTATTGGTATAAAACATACTTCGATGTCTAATGGTATAAAACATACTTCGATGTCTATTGGTATAAAACATACTTCGATGTCTGATGGTATAAAACATACTTCGATGTCTGATGGTATAAAACATACTTCGATGTCTGATGGTATAAAACATACTTCGATGTCTATTGGTATAAAACATACTTCGATGTCTGATGGTATAAAACATACTTCGATGTCTGATGATATAAAACATACTTCGATGTCTGATGATATAAAACATACTTCGATGTCTGATGGTATAAAACATACTTCGATGTCTAATGGTATAAAACATACTTCGATGTCTGATGGTATAAAACATACTTCGATGTCTATTGGTATAAAACATACTTCGATGTCTGATGATATAAAACATATTTCGTTCCATTGTTAAAATTAAACTAGCATTTAATTGTCTGTTTGGTTGTTATCAAGCACAGACTACACAATGGACTATCTGTGTTGTGCCTATCCCGGTTATCGAAACCCGGTTCTTAGCGTTATAAGTTTCAGAATTACGCTGGGTCACTGGGGGTTTGTTTGTTTTCAGAGCAAAGACATGTTGGGCTATCTGCTGTGTCCACCGCAGGGGATCGAATTCCAGATTTTAGTGTTGTAATTCCGTACATTTACTGCTGTCCCATCGAGAGACGCCACTAGGGGGCCATTTAATTTTTAAGCATAAACTTAGATTTGATCAATTTCACAATTTCCTAATGGATAAATCA